AATAAATAAATGAACAAATAAAAAAATAAAGGAATAAATAAAAGAAAGTAAAATTAAAAAATAAATGAAGTAAAAGAATGAAAGAAAAAATAAGTAAAAGTATAAATTAAAAAATAAATGAACAAGTAAAAAAATGAAGGAATAAATAAATGAAAATATAAATTAAAAAATAACAAGTGAAAGAATGAATAAATGAATAAAAGATTAAAGGAATAAGTTAATTAAATTAAAAAATAAAAATTAAATTAAAAAATAAAAGTTAAATTAAAAAAATAAAGTTAAATTAAAAAATAAATGTTTGAATAAATAAATATGTAAATGTTTAAATAAATGAAATAATAAAAAAATGTTGATTAAAAAATAAATAATATGTAATATATGTATAACGATATTAAATGTTAATAAAAAAAAGATGTTATAAAAATAAATGATTGAAAATTATTTTCTATCTTATAAAAATTTAAATCTTATAAAAATTTAGTTAAAATGCTACAGATTTGATCTATTCGTCGGGTAGGTTCGTTAATAAATGATTACTATCTCTGACTTGCGAGCTGTCTTATATAAGGTCGCGCCACGAAGTTTAACGAAAATATACGTTTTTTGACGATCGGGTCAAAATTGATTTTTCGAATATAATAATTAATAATTTTATAATTTTTAAATTTTTATTGTTAATTTATAATTCTAATAAATTATTACAATAAAAAATTATGTATATTTTTTCAAATTAAAACATTTATATTTTTTTAGTATTATTTTCCTAATATTTCTTTACTTATTTATTTAGTTATTTATTAATTAAATTATTTGTTTACTTCTTTTATCTATTTTTTTAATTTATATAATCATTTATTTATAAAATTATTATTTATTTATTAATTTATGTATTTATTCAGTTTTTATTTCTTCATTTATATATTATGTAATATATTATTTATTTTTTTATTTTTTTATTTATACAATCAGTTATTATATATTATTACTATATATTTACTTTTTTATATTTTCATTTATTTATTTAATTAGGCTTTTATTTATATCGATTTATTTAATTTTTATTTTTTTTCTATTTTTCTTCTCTGTTTATTCATTTTTCTAATTATGTAGGTTTTTATTTATTGATTTATTCATTCTTTTATTTTTTCTATTTCTTCCTATTTTTTCATTTATACAGTAATTTATTTTTTTATTCCTTTATTTATTTATTTATTCATTTATTTATTAATTGTTTAATTAATAATAAAGTGAGAAAAGGATAGAAATAAAATAAAAATATTGAAATTATCGCCATCTTCAGACTGTCGTAAATAAAAGACACAAGGGAAAGAATAAAAAATAATGTGAAAAGAAATACAGTAAAAATTTACTAGAAATGTCATCTTTGGAGTGTAAAGATTTATTTTCAAAAGCAAGATAAAGAAGAATAAGAATTGCATATTCGTGCCATCTCTTGAATGCTTTTAGAAACATGATTTTTTAAAAAAATTTCAAAGATGGTGCTGAAAGTCAGTCTTTATATTATTTCTTTGCGCGTTTTATTTATGGCACTCTGGAGATAGCACGGATTTTCATATTTTTACTTATCTCTGTTCTTTTTTTACTATTTGCTCTCTTTTACTATATTTTCTTTGTAAAATTACATTTATGAGACAACATATCTGATAAATTTTATTGTTTCTTTTATTCAATCTATTAATTAAAAATGTTAATAGAGTTTATTCGATTTAATTTTTATTATATTATCATTATATTATATTATACATATACATGTATCTTATATTACTAATAATTTTTCATTTATTAAATTTGTTAATTTTAACTCATTATTTTTAATTCATTAAAATTTATCGTTTTAAAAATACGTTTACTCGAATTAAGTATTAATATATTATTACCCATCGTTTTTCGTGAAAAATAAATTGTTCACAAACAATATCGTTAATCTATACAAACTGCTGTATTATAATTAATCAATATAAAGCGTAACAAAACAAATTGAATTAAAGAATGGAAATGGGGAGAAGAGAATACACAGGGACAAATATACAACGTACGACATTTATTCTCTCATTTTCCTTAAATCGAATATCCTACGTACGGGTAGATACAGAGGATTCTATAAAGGTACATGAATTTCCATGAATTCTGAAAATTCGAGGAGATATATCAGCGTACCCTTACGACATCCCTTCTATTCCTCTCTCTCGTGTGCGTACAACTGTGTATGCGTGTGTGCGTATCTATGCTCCACTTCCGGTTTGCACCAGTCCATCCACCTAGGATTCGTACCACGTTACATCTTTTCCGTGCCTTCTTCAATCATTCATTCGAACGACGACGATCTCGCTTTTCTCTTTTCTTCGCCAATCTCTCTTCTCCTCTTTAAATAAAACATTACTCGACGTTCGAATTCGAAGTCGGATAAAAATACTTTTTCTTCTTTTTTACCTCACGCGATTACCTCACGCAATCATATCACACACACTTTTAATAAATTCCAATCTATATATTAAAAGTTTTCAAATGACTCGGTTTTGGAGCGTAGAAAATTTCGAAATTTCGATCCGTTCGACACACCCTCGTTAATATTATTTCGCCCTCCTCTCATTTTTAAAATCTTTCATTCCCCTTTTTGTTCCGTTTCTCGAAATCTTTGCTTTTCAAACCGTGAAGCGTAAATATTTACATTATTTCGCGACAACAAGGGCTGTCTCCTTTTCGAATCGATAAAACGATTCGATCGAGAGAAAGTCCAACTTTTTCGAACTCGAATTTAAATTTCAATGATTCGCGACTCGAAACATCTCGGATCGACGTTTTAAATCTCTGATACCAGGAGCAGCATGCGCTGGCACGCCAACCGAGCGCTTAATCAATTTCTCTTTTTCTTTTGAACAAGGACCGATAAAACTAATTGAACGCATTTTATATACACATCGACGCACAGTCTCTGGTCCTACGCGAGAATTATCACCCCACGTGATATGCCACGGGCTCAATTTTCCGCTAATTTTCCTCTTCGCCGTCCGTTCGTTCGCCTTTCTAAATCGGTACACTCGCTAAAGTTTCACCCTCACCGACTTTTTAACCTGACTCGCCGATCAAGTTCGACCAACGATAAATAAAATTCAATACAAATGATATGTAAATCGAAGGCGACAAGACTTTGACAATACGTTCTATTGTCTTCTTCTTTTCTCTCTTTTTTTTTTTTCTTTTTCTTTTTTTCGTAGAAAATTTATCTCCAAACAGCGCTTAATTTTCTTCCCATCGTATTCCAATTACTTAAGATATTAACAATTCAAATTTTTCTCTTTTCCGAACGAATGTCTATTCTGCTATTTCGTTTCGATAAGAAAATTCTCTCGAGTGAGAACCATGCTCGAGGAACGTGTATATCGTGGCGGAAAACGTTATCGCGAAACTATAGAATCCAGATTCTTGGATCGTATTATCTTACAACGAGCTTGTCCACGATAATTTCGTTCCTCGAGCGTGGCGATATCGAAGCTCTTCCTCCATTTCCTCCAACTTATCAAATATTGTCATGGACTCTTCCTATCTCTCTCGCTTATTCTCCATTATAATAACATTGTTTCCGACAAGCGAACGAAGAACATGGCCGACTTAAACTACAAAAAAATCGTTGGTGCGTTTTATCGAGATCGGGTTGTGGACGCTTTCGAAATTCGCAATTTGTTCCACACTCGCGCCCTCCCCCCAATTTTCTCCTATTTCCATTCTTTCTTTTCTCTTTCTTTCGACGGAGAAGAGGAAGCAAGTTGCGATGCGTTAAGGGCACTCGAAAGGTTGTACAGTTTCGTATGAATGAAACGGCAATTAGGCCGTCACAACATCGACAATTTCAGTCCCGTAGAAAAAATATTCGCTCGATTTCCTACTAAAACTCTCTGCGCGGCGAAGTTACAGTTCCCGTGGTTGCGAAAGCGTACAAGCTCTTACACGTTCAACCCCTTCGAAAAGCGGTCACACCGTGTCGATTTGTTAACATTTTTCTCTCTCATCGACCTCGAACAATTTAAATATATATTTCGACGATAGCGATTAATCTATCATGCGACTCGACTAGAATAATTTTCTTTTTCAGCTCCGCGAAATTTGCAAATGGACGTCGTAGGCGGGTATTGGTTATCTTTCAAGATCAAAGAACTTTGAAAAAAGAACGGAATTTGATCGAAAGAGGGCGAGATAGGAAGTTAAAAAATAGAAAATGGAAGTAAAATTTTTCAATGTTATTGAAAAAATATTATCTCGAGTAGTCTCGAGTAGTTGTTGGTTTTTATATAAAGTTTACCAGCGCGACTGATCGATTTATTTCGATTTCGAAAGGAGGAAAGGAAGAGAATTCTCAAAAGGGGAAAATCTTTCCCTCTCCGATCGTGAATTTTAGGATTCATTCTTTTACCGGATTTCAAGAGGTCGAAATAAAAATAATGCTCGAGAAGAAGAAAAAGAAGAGGGTTTCTGTTAGAGTACCGGCTATTGAGCAAATGCTTTTGAAAATTCCGAGTATAAAAAAAAAAAGAAGAAGAAAAAATGGGACAGAGAAAAATGCAGAGGAATTAAAGAGGTTGGAAAATTCACGAGGATCCTCGTTACCGAAATTAACTGTATGTCTGTTTGATAGAGAATCGTAGAGAAGCGAAGGAAAGATGCTTTTGTAAATATAAAAGCTCGGTGTAAAAAAAGAATTAAAAACGAAAATTGAAGCAAGATTTCCCGTTCCGTTCTTTCCCTTTAAAAGTAACATTTTCTCGAGCCATTGATTCTTTTTACACGCCCACGTACGCTCGACAAATATGGCACAAGGGTCATCAAGACTCAACGACACTACGAGATACGATGCTAGTTCTTTCCAAGAAATCATTAAAAAAAAAAAAAAAAAAAAAGAGAGAGAGAGAGAGAAAGGTAGAAAAAAAATAACAAACAAAATAAAAAATGATACAAAAACGATAAACAAGATCGTTCATAAATAACAAGATGATTAATTAACGGAGAAAAAGGAGACAAAAACAAAGAAAACAAAAAGGTAAAAAAAAAAAAAAAAAGATATTTTATGGGCGATATCGAAGAGTGACTGGCCAAAAGGGTTCCAGTGGATGTTTTGGCAGGGGGCCAGAGAGTCGTTGGAAATTGCTCGGAGACTTCGCGTAGCCTATTGTCGACTGAACAGACGGTATCCATTGGGCAAGATCAAGGATCTAGGGATGGAGCCTCGATCTATTTCATCGAGATCGTCCGTCGATTGGTTTCGAGCAAGCCGTTCCCATTTTCGGTGATCAGGGGCCCTCGACGATGCATCGTGGCCGTGGTCGAGTTGTTCTTCGGGGTCGAGGACGTTGTCTCCGTGGTTGCTCTCGTTGACGTCAATCTCTTCTGCGAATTTTTTATAAAAATTTAAAAATTGAATTCTCTCTTTTTTTTTTTTTTTTTTTTTTTGGAAAAATTAGAATATTAAAAGAAAGGAAGGTAGAAAGGTAGGTTACAGATTTATTTTTCGTCTATCTATTTTTTCAATGTTAAAGTGAGAATATCCTCTGAACTAATATTCTCACGTTACAAAAAACGTTATAATCGGCTCGAGACCGATTATACTAAACCAATATCAACATTCCTGTCATCCATCTGCTTTTCTTGCTAACGTTCCAAAATTTATAACTTTTATAGCTTTTCTATAATTTATTATTATTGTTCAAGATTTTCAGTTGCGAATCGTGTCTTTTTTTCACCTCAATGTTTTATCAATATTGCAGATTCGGAGATCGAACGACACATCGATGTATCACTTCTTAATCCTTGTCAATATCCGGATATTCTTTTACTCGAATTAAAAATTTCTTAACTTTCTCCATGAAAAGATTTTCTAACTGGATTACAATTATTCGATATGTGTATTAATAATTTATGATGACAAAGTAACAATTTTATTATAACGAGGATTATCGAAATCAAAAAATTTGATAAAAAATTTTGAATTACGTTGTAACGTGAAACAAATTGGAAAGTTTTCAAAAAATATATCGAAATAAAATTTCTAATATATTTTATTTAAATGCACGTGTATTGATTGGATCCAAATACATTGAAATATGTCAAAACATGTTCGATTCGATAACTTGTAAAAATTCACGCTTTAAACATAGAATAGATTAATCCTGAACAAGATGGGCGAGATGGATCGATCTCGTCCAAAAGCTATAAAACGTTCTGATTTTTAATTATTTTTTTGGTAGTATATTGCATATAAAATACGTTTTTGTTTGTTTTTAATTAAAAAAATCAAGTTATACACGTGATATACAAATTGCATATTGAAAATTTTTTATGTATCTTTTAAACTTTAATTTATTGATATTTTATCAATAAATAACAATTCAGAATGTTAAAAAACAAACAGAAATACATCGATATAACGTTTCAGAGATTGTACGTTTACGTTCGTAGAATTGAAAAGAGGATCGTCATCAAGATCAACATTTACTTCAAAATTCGATTTGATTACAAAAAATTATTCTTGATTCACACGATTCATAATTTGAAATTCTTTGAGCAATAATAAATAATATAAAGTAATAAAAATTCTTCTTAATTCACGTGATTTGAAATTCTTTGAATTACACTCGTTATCTATGTAATAAAATAATAAAGTTCAATTTAACTACAAAAAATTGTTCTTAATTCATACGATTCAATTCTTTGAGCAATGCTCGTTACTTAAGTAATAAAAAGTAATAAAAATTGTTCTTAATTCACATAATTTGATTTGAAATTTTTTGAGTTACACTCGTTACCTAAGTAATAAAGTAACAAAGTTCAATTTAACTACAAAAAATTGTTCTTAATTCACGTGATTTGAAATTCTTTGAGCTACACTCGTTATTTAAGTAATAAAATAATAAAATTCAATTTAACTACAAAAAATTGTTCTTAGTTCACACGATTCAATTCTTTGAGCAATGCTCGTTACTTAAGTAATAAAAAATAATAAAAATTGTTCTTAATTCACATGATTTGAAATTCTTTGAGCTACACTCGTTATTTAAGTAATAAAATAATAAAATTCAATTTAACTACAAAAAATTGTTCTTAGTTCACACGATTCAATTCTTTGAGCAATGCTCGTTATCCAAATAATAAAATAGCAAAGTTCAATTTGATTAGAAAAATTGCGTTTCGCAACACGATTCGCGATTAGAAATTCTTTGGAGCAACGGTGCTCCAACTGCTCGTTACCCAAGTAAGAGAAAAGATTCCTCTCGGTCGATATGTGATATTCGGTTGTGCGAGCTCCAGCTCGGAACTATATCCCCACCGCGAAACTTTATGTTCGTCACGAGAGTATCCGCGGCAAAGTTTGGCAATCAGAGATCGGTGGGATCACGTAAGAAGATCGCGCGGCGGAAGGAAGGCATCGCTCACTTCCGGCCTCAGTGTGTGTACGCGGAGTGAGCCGGGAGTCCAGGCACGTCCTCGTCAACGAATCCCGGAAATTGCGGCACGTAAAAGCGTCGCGGTGCCCCGGGATTACTCGCAATTCGAGTGTCTCTCGCCTACCTCTTAAACACTCCCTCGATCTTCTTCTCGGGGGTTTCATCAACCCCCGTCGTTCGTTAAAAAAACCGAAGAACGGGGTCAACGCTCGAATCTCGACTATTTTTTTTCTACAATTGCGTCGTAATCGCGTTCCTCTTAATATTTTCGATATTATATTATGTCTATCCATCCGGTTTTATATTATAAGGAAATTTTATCTTCGAAGAGGAGAAGTACCATTTTAACGAGAGTCATCTTTTCTCTTCGTCCACAAAGGATTTGAAATACCCGATTCGAGGATATCATAGAACAATTATGAATTTTTTAGCACGAGTTTTATCGTCGATACGCATAATATTTTTCCGACTGTATCCATCAAAAAGTCCTTTTTTGATTCTTAATGCAGCATTGAATATACGTATTAAACTCAAAAATTTATTCTCACAGCGTCCTCCAGCACGACGTAAAAATTTAAGTTACACTCACAATCCATCCCACTCGTTTCTATTATCTAAAAAATTTCTATTATCTAAAAACTTTTATTCCTTAATGCCTCTAATTTGTTCTATCAATCTCATCGTCGAATCGATCGCGCTAATTACCGAATAGAATCGCATCACGTGTACCTCGCGTGAAGAAAATTTGATAAAACGAGCATCGAGCTCACCTCGGCCTCGTTCTCTTTGTAGGACCAGAAGTCAATCTGTCTGAGTGCCTCCAACTGGTTCTCGAGCGGGTCGGTTCCATTGCCTTTGCCCGCGTCCTTCTTCCACGCGTAGATGGGTCGCTCGAGGCCCACCTGCACCTGATTACCCGAACGCTCCTGCTCCTCGCCGCCCCGCCTTTCATTTTCGTTCCTCGCGTCCTCCTCGTTCCTCCTCCACTCGTTTCCGCCGTACTTGGGCGAGGAGACCGCGGACACGGCCACGAAAGCGTTGTTCCTCGACTTGGACGAGGCGGCGTCGGCCGTGGTCCCCGGCTTCGAGATCGGCACCGCGGTCACCCTGTGGTAGGCGAACTGTTTCCACTTGGCGGGCCACGTGCCCGTCGAGCTCGTCTTCCCGTAACCCCATTCCTCGCTCATCTTCTGCTGCCACAGATCGTTGGGGCTCTTCCAACCGGTCCGCTCGCCCGGCTTCCTCGCCCAGCCATCGCTGGGCTCCTCCTCCTTCGCCTTCGCCACGGGCCACGACGAGTCCCCCGCGAACTTGGACGCGTCCTCGCTCGTTTTCGACTCGTTCCAAGACTCGTTCGACGACCACGAACCACCCACTCCCCTCCCAGCCCACGAACTCTTCTCCCCTCCCCCCTGGATTTTCGATATCCAGGAGGAGGAGGAGGAGGAGGAGGAGGAAGAGGCGGAGGATTCAGGATTTTTGGCCAACCACTCTTCTCCCTTCACCTTCCACGAGTCGGTGGCTTTGCCGGGTGGCTTGCCGCCGGTGGACGGCCAACCGTCCAGATCCCTCGTGTCTGCGTACCAAGGTTTGCTCGATTTCTCGGGCCAGGGATCGGCGTTGATCGGCTCGGGCCACAGGGACAAATCGTCGTCCGACCTGTCCATCCAGGAATTTTCGTTCGATTTCTCGGTCCAAGATGCCTTCTTCCCCGATCTGCCGTTCAGAGGCTTGGCCGACCATCTTCGGGGACCAGTCTCGTCGGAGACCATGGGTTTGATCTGGTAAGGCTTCCAAGTCGATTGATCGGCCGCCATTACCCACGCGCCCACCGACTGGATCTTGGGCAAGGCGGCCTCGTCCGCGCGCCACGCGTTCTTCTTCCCTTCGTACTTCCTTCTCCAAGCGTTCGAATCGTCTCCCTGCATGCTTTCCACTTTCTTCGCCCACTCGTTCGGCCACGATGATTTCATCGAATCACCTTTGTACTCGTCGCTCGACTTGTACGCGGCGGAGGAGAAGGAGGGGGCCTCTTCCCCCTCCTTCCTCCCCTCCTTCTCCCCCGATCCCTCCTTTCCCTCGCTCGACCACGGGCCGCCGTTCTGCTGCTTGTCCAAGCCCAACTTCTTCACCAAATCGGCGTTCGGGTTGTACGACTTGCCGTTCTCGTCCTTCGGCCACGGTTTCGCGCCTGGAAGCTTGTGAGGCCACGTGGCCGGGTCCGAGGTCAGGCTGTTCCAAGTTTTCATCGTGATCTGCGGCCTCCCCACCTTCTCACCCCCCTCCTCCTTCGCCGATTTACTCGCCTCGGATCGATTCTTGCTCTTCTCCCAAACGCCCTTCTTCCCTTCGTACGGTTTTGCAGGCCTCGTTTCCACGGCTTGCTGCCACGAGGAGACAGGCTTCAAAGCTTTCTCCGCTGGCCAACTAGATCTGTCCCTGGTGTTCCAGGAACGGTGAACGTTCCGTTGCTGTTGCCACGTCTTCTCGTTCCTCGCGTCCTCCTCCTCCTCCTCCTCCTCCTCGTCCTGGCTGCGAAACGCGGACCAGTAATTCTTCTCCACGGGTGGGAAGTTTACACGATGAGGCCAATACTTGTTGGCTGGTTGCCTCCAAGACCACTTCTCGGATGTTAGAGGTAAAGGGGGGCGTTCCTCCTGGGTTCTCCAGGGTGGGTCGTATCCACCGTAGGAGAGGTCGGGCCAGCTCTTGCTCAACCGGAAATCTCGTTGCTCGTATTCTCGATCGATGGGATATCCATCCGATTGAACGTTGAAGTCGCCTCGATAGTCATCCTCCTCCTCCCGCCCTCGAACGAGCTCCCTCGCTGGTGACAATTGATCGTATCGCGGCCGATGATACGTTTCCGGTATGTCGTAATCCGGCATTCGTTCCGGATCTGGAAAAATCGGGAGGAGAATATACGATTTCGAGAAGTAGATCGGTTAAGAGGGATTCGAAAGTTTTTGTCAAAGCTTCGGGAATCGGACGGGAATTCGGCTAGGAAAGTTTGCGAGCGAAATGTCTGAGAAGCGACTTGTAAATACGGAGCGGTGAAAAAGTAATGGAAATTTTAACGATACGTTTGGTCGAGAAGAGTTGGCGGAAAGGGAAAAGTGAAATTCAATTTATATGGATAAAATATTGTATGTACAGTTTGTTGTTATTATATAATTATATACGAACGCGAATCAAATTATTTAAATCGCGTGTAAATATAGTAAAATTCTTCTTTTATTGTTATTATTAAGTTTATCGATAATATTTTATTAAATCGAGATTTACCCGATAACTCGAAATTCGATCACGAAATTTAAATCAACGTTTACTTCAACGGCAATAGCAAATATTTTGCACGGGTAATTGCACGAATAAGCAAGGAACTTCCTCGAAAGAGTTTTTCCAGGTTAAGCAAAGAGCTGATTATGCGGGCTCTTTGCTAAAACTTCTGACGATAGCCAAATGTAATAGAAATAAAGTGAAAGAAAGTGAACTTTAACTTAAGAGTCTTTTTTTCTGAAAAAAATATTCTGCGCATTCTGAAAATTATCCTGATTGCATTGCTTAACACGAAACGCACGAATCGTCACATCTTGATCACATTAATTCACAAGCAATCGGAATTATCGAAGGAGCACGGTGTGCTATCCCTTCTACCATACCGACACGTCACGTGACACGATGTAACTTTGGCGAGACTAGTCACGTGACGTATCTCTATCTAATGTAGCACTGGTAGTGGGGATAACGTGACGTAGCGTATCTTAGCCTGATGTAGCAAAGGTATAATATTCTCTCGCATTTAAGTCTCAGAAGAGACTGTGCTCGTTCGGCAACTCTGCAAAATTTTTACGAACTTACCTATAGGCCTGTCGTACACGCTCGCGAACTCTCTGCGTTGTTGAACGTGACCAGGCTGACGATTTCCAATCTTGCCAAACCGCATCAGCCTTTGATTGCCAAGTTCGCCAACTTGGTTCGCCAATATCGGTTTTCTATCGGATGGAAAAGTCTTTGGCTTCCCGTTCGACTTGTCCTCCTCGATCAGGTCTCTGATAGAGGCCAGGCTTCTTGGACTTTGCGGAGAAGAGTGGCTGGTCCCTTGTTCGGTTTCACCGTGAACGTCTTGTTCCCAAGGAGGTCCAAACAATCTCTCCGCTATCAGACGCCATTGAACAGGCGTCGTTTGCCACGGTATCTCTGTGGTGGTCAATAGCGGAGGTGTGGCCGGTACGGAAGTCAAGGGGGTCGTGGAGAGACGATGCTTAGGCTTCTTCTTCTTCTTCTTCGACTTTTTTCGCGATTTCCTCGACTCGTTCGTGGATTCGGTTGAGAATAGGTTCAAGGTGGGCTGGTAGCTGCGCTTATCTGGCTCCAACTCGTCTCTAGACAACTTCAGCTCGTTTTCCCTGTTCACTGTCGATCGCAGAGAGAAAAAATTATTAATTCACTGATAACAATTTTGAATCATGCGTGTAAGTATCCCTTATGCAACGATTCCGTTATTCAAACGAAATATTATTTAATTTCATTGTTCAATTTTCAGATTGGATTTCAGATTATATCGTCTATTAAAATAACAAGTAAAAACACGACTTAAACAACTTTCAATACATCATTCAACGGGATTAAAGTGTGAAATCTTCGATTCAACGAGATCCAAATATCCCCATAATTTTAATTTCTAAAGATTCCTTTCAAGATCGAAGTCCGATAAGAAGATAGCTCCATTCGAAGAAGGAAGCCGTTCGCTGGTAAATAGATTCCGAGCGGAGTTAGTTGCGGGAGCGGTCCAATCCGGTGGGGCTATTAAAAAGGGAGAAAGCTGTTGCAAAAGGGAAGACCCGCGCTGCTAATCGCGTTCGAGTCGAGCGGGGAATCCAATAAAGGTCTTACAATAGGTTGATTAGAGCGATAGTGTCTGCATTATTGGCCGACGTAATTGCCCTCTGACAATTAGTCGATCCGTATAACGTGGAAATCAATGTAACTCGGTCCGTGAGAAATTCTCTTTCTCCCCCATTTTCCCCCATGTTTCTTTTCCACCATCCTCCATCGCATCCACCATTCTTCCTCTCGTTCGATTATTTCCTGCCACGCGAACAATATGTTAACCCGCCATCTTGCGCCGTTTCACGTTCCCGAATTAACCGGAAACGAACGAGGATCCACTCGAATAATCTCTGGATAATCGACTCTGTGATGATCTTCTACGTTGGGACGAGTTGTCGACTCGACTCCACATTTTGCGGAATAATTACGCAAAAATTTCGAATCATTGGATAGAACACTTCTCTCGACATTTTTTTGGAAAATCTAATCGAAGGCGTCTGTAGCGTTAATTTCGTATGAAAAATGGCAGAAGATCAAGAAAAGGAAAGAAATTGACGTTTATTTAATTAACATTAACTGCATTGCAATTGGTAATGTTGTATTTCGCCAGACTTATGATACACTCAACAATTTTCTATTTTTTATCCATTAAGAACGGATAGATATCACGAAAGGACGAAAAGCTCTTAAAAGCCCGAACATTTCCCTTTTTTTTGGACGGAGATTAGATCGATGCAGTATAGTTTCTCGTAAATCGGTTTTTCAAAATTTGTACAAGCGAAGTAAATTCTTATGCAATATCTTTCGAAGATAATCCTTCACACGTACTAATAAATATTCAATCGGCATTCAACAAACATCAACGAAGCACGATCGATCGTTAAAATCGTTAGCACGAGCGTTAACGATTATTTAATCGAATTATACGAAAGTGGGAAACCCAGTAAAATACAGAAAATTAAACAAATTGGTTGGAAATTTTAAAAAAGAATATTAAAATAATAAAAAATCGTTGCCTGGCTCTCTGTATGCAAAACTGTATGCCCCTTAATTTCATAACTAACGCGCGATCTCGTGGCCGGGATAATGCATATACGGGGACAGTGAATAATCCGGGAACAAGTTAGTCCGTGGGAATCGGTGGGGGAAGAGGGGGGAGGGGCGAGGAGCAGCAGTAGGTAAAGCGGTTTGCGCGCGAGACCATCTTAATCTCCATTACAGGAACAATGTCGCTTTAATAATAGCCATTTGCTCGCGCTGATGGATGAGCACAGCCCGGGGGAGAACACGTTTCCAGTATCGCGACGCGGTTTTCGCCACGAATAAATCGACGCCCACGCTCTTTCATCGATCGATAACATTTCTTCTCCCCCTTTTTATCCCAATACTTTTTTCCTTCTACGACAAACTTTCTCAAACTCGAGAAAAATTTTTACAGAGCTTGAAGCTCTGTTATATATGCACGCTCGAACACGATTTTTTCAGATTCGAAACAGAGATTCAATTGAATTCGATCGAATTAATTAATGCATATCGCACTCGTACAATCTAAAACGAAAAGAATAGTCGTATAAATATTTTTTTACTACTACATGTATTTTATTTTGAAGAAGCTTATTTAACCACGCCATAGAATCATCGAGAATCATCCTATAAAAATCTTCACGTCTTCGCATCGTCTGTGTCGAACGTATCAAAAAATTTCACACGTCGAATTGCCATGGAAAAATGTTTGGAAATAACCAATCCGTTTCAATTCCTTGGTCTTGGTTTGATCGATAAATCTTCGAAAGTTATTTATTTCTTATCTCCGAACACGAGATACAAGTGTCGAACAATAATTAACGAAGGAAAGTTGATTCAGGGATTTGCAACAGGTTTCTTCTTCGCGGGATCGCGGAACTAAGTCTCAACGTTGTTTGCGAAACTTGCCCGATTATCGTTTCCCGTCGCCTCACGGGCAAACAGCGGCAAGTCGATGAACCAAGTCCAGGTCACGCTTCTCTTTAACGATACACGCGAGAGATCAACAAAACAACTTGCGAGATTCAGCCGCGGAAAGACAAGCTCGACGCGAGGATACCAAGAGTGGAAGGATTAACGAGAACCGAACTATTCAACCGAGATATCAATTGTAAACTATCCCATCGTGCGGAATTCCTTCGGTCAGGAGGGATTATTGCCAGCGTTACTTACCGAGTAGTTTGTGCAGCCGTTCCCATCGCCTCGGATCTTCGGCTAGTTTCATCAGAAGTTGCAGCAAATCGTCCAGTAGGGCATCTTCTCGCGTCTATAACGCAAAGATAATTTTTAATTATCGCTCGGGAAAGAAGTAAAAATATTTGGAATTTCTTTCATTTTCGACGCGACGTTCGCGAGCGACTACTAAAATTCTCCTTCGAGAAAATTTTAAAAGCTAACAATACCGATGTATCTTTTGATGTATAATGCAAAAAGCAGTATACGTAACGTGATACTAAATTATGCGTCAAAGAGCATAGATATTTCTTTCGAGGCCACGAGTGTTGTGTAATTCGATCCTTGTCGAGAGAGCCACGCGTTAAATAGACAATGGTTCGACAGTGACAGAGAATATGTTCGCCATTTTTCTCAACTGTCCCGTGTTTATATTGCCGTTCCACGAAAGAAAATAAACGAACAATTATTTAGATAATTCCGGGTGCTAGTGGAAATTATAGAGAAACGAGAGATCAGAAATAAAAGAAATGGTCTGTTGAAAGGGATAACAGTGGCGATCTTCCCGTGTTTCGTAATTTCCGCTCGACACACTCCCTTCGTATCGAACTTTCTCGTCGCTGATTCCAAATTAAGATTAACAGCCTTCGCTTCGTGTCCACCATTCCAAGTATATATCCTCGGTATTCGTGGTGCGGGATTCAAAGTTCGACGCGAAAGGAAAGTTTCTTCATCTTCTTTTTCTCTCGTCGATGCTCCTCCTTGTTCAACTGTCCTTTTAATGGAGATTAACGCTCCTTGAATCTCTTTCTCTCTTTCTCTCTCTCTCTACGCGAACTGTTTCTTTTAATAAAGGCAGCCTTCTTCCTCTTCCCTCACGGAATGGAAATTTAACGCAATTTGCTTTCCTTGATAAAAATCGTACGGATTTTCGTTATTCCTATCGCTTCATTCCCTATTCTCTGGCTATTCTTCCAAGCTACGCGTCGATAAAATTCTTCGATACTCTTCCTACAGTGCTAATACAAATGCCCTTTTCGCTATCTTCTTCCTTCGTCCTTTCATCGAATTTCTTTAATAAAAGTCATCCAATAAACGTGTTTACCTCTACCCTCGACTAATAAAAATCGGCACCCTTCTTCTTCATCCCTCCCCTCTCTCCTTTTTTTTTCGTTTTTTATCCCGCGATGGAGATTCCAGAGGGTTCTCCTTTCTCCTTTCGTAACGCGAGGATAATCGAGGAGGCGGGGAGGCGCACGGGGGATATTGAATTAGCCGTGAGAATGCGGCTCTTTGCGAGATCCGCGCATCCTCGACGATAAGCACAGCAAGTAGGTGACGCGATAATGGCGTCCGGGACATTCTTGAGGCGCGGGAAGAACGCGTCCAATTTGGCGAGGACACGGCAGCATTCCCACTCGAATTGCCACTCTCTGCTCGTCTCGCTCTCGTGGATCTGTTCTTCACGTGGAATGCCTCGACGGTTCAGTTCGATTTCTTGCTTATTTTATCTTTTTTTTTTTTTTTTTTTGCTTCTTTAAACTTACTTATTAGTTTGAATATAAATTTGCACGATAGATAGATTTCGAGAGATATGGCAAAAATATGTCGATTTCTCCGTGAATACATCGTGATTTCTTCGTAAACTTTTATCTAAGAAAAAACTAACGAGGAAAGTTCTTCGAATTTTTATTGACACGCTCGATGATATTTCGAGCATTTCGGTTGATACAACAAATTTCTATTCGACTTGGAATCGAAGAGGGTAGGAAAAATTTTCGCAAGAATTCGATTGGATTGAGAAGAGCATAGAAAGATTTTTTTTTTTTTTACGAGGATGCTCGAGTTCCGTTAAAGAGGAGCGACAACGTCTCTTCGTGGATCCAATTGTCGCAGTAATCGCGACACAGTAAACTAGTCGCTTTAAGAATATTGAATTAGTCAGAATGGGTTTATTCTTTGTGCTAGAATTGTCGGTCAGAAGAAACGGGGACGATGCAACTATATGTATCTATCTTTTAACTCATGCCTCGTGAAGAACCTCGTGTAATTTTCTCCTCCTTATTTTTCACCTCTTTTGCACGAAAAATGTCATCTTTGATTTTTCTTCTTTGCTTGTTTTACATAGTATTAAAAACTCACAATGAATATCTTTTTCACTCGAATGATGATTCTCACATATTCGATGCGATACTCGAGAGGCTCTCATTTGAATTCGAACGGCGACGATATTTATTTACGATCGATTTTTTTAGAATATCGCTTCATGAATAGATTCTTAAGCTCGTTGCTTATAATTTTAAATGAAGCATAGAATATAACATCGAATAGATTTTCTTATCTCAAATTAGATCGGAGTGAATTTTCGGCATTGATCCGAAGTTTGACAATGTGACGGAATAGAAATATTATTTTTCTTTGAGTTTTGTAAGCAGAGGAATGTGGTAATGATTCAATTTGAGAAGATGAGTTTGATTTTGAACGATGAAATTACATCTATTCGCGAAGAAATTGACGATAAAGAGAAGGAAAGCGGTGATGAAATAAGAGGTATAAAAAAGCGAAAAATAAAAATAGAAGGTGAATGCGCGTTATGTTAACAGGAGTTAAGAAGGATTACAAAATTTGCTCTCAACGAAATAAGAAAGATGAAAGATATTTTATCGTGATACTGTGTTCTGACAAATCGGAAAATTGCATCTTGCCGATTTGTTTTATAAAATATAACCCGAAACAACAACAATATATAGAGTTTAATATTCGACAAATTTTCTTTTTTTATATGATACATAAAAATATAAAAGTTTTATACATTTAATTTATGCGTGAAATCATTAGCTGCAACAAAATTTATCGAACGTCATTGGAAAATCGTCTTCGAGCGCAAAGGGTGAATAATAATAATATTATCTTAACGAATCTTAAATATTCTCTTCATCAATCCGATTTTTCTATCATCCAATCGAAATTTAAAAATTTTACAAGCAGCCATCTTATATTTATACCTTTAAGATGAATTCGGAAATAAAAACGAAAATCCTTCAATTACATCATTTTACATTTTAAACTATCATTGCTTTAGTCATCGAACGATCGTCTCTATTTAAATGCTTTTCTTTCACGAAAAGAAAATCGAAAATTTCGATTTTCATCCGATGATTATTATTTCCGGTCGATAAGCGTTTCTCACAGCTTGTGATTCGTGTGGGACAAGAACAAATAGCCCGATATTCAACGCGGGAAGGAAGCGGAGGAGCATTGTCTCTTCGTGATAAAAGAAAACTTGGGGGAGAGGGGACGGCATTTATCATCGCGACCTAAGTTTTATTTCCATCTCCCGATCGTTTCGTGACAACTTTCTCGTTTGTATCCGCTTTTTCTTATCCGCGACCGTTCTTATGAGTTTAAATCCAAATTTAAATCCTTTCTATCGTTTCGAGCAGCAAGATAAAAATGGCGTTTCGAAATGGAAATTGAAAATATAATTTTTCTAATTTATCGAAAAGAGTTGGGGTTTTCGTATAAATTCGTTTATTTATTTTTCGATCGTTGCTTATTTGGCTTGTTATAAAAGAGGGATATGAGTTGTCTATAAAAATTTTTAAAATTAAAATTTAAAATAAAATTTGGAAATTTTCGTTAATAGTTGAGCCATGTATTTTAATCATATTAAAATTTCATATCCATACAGAAGGAGAAAAATTTTTATAGTATTTTCCTATACTTTCTTACTTTAAAATTCGATATTTATATAAAAGAAAGATTGAATTAAAATTTTCCTAATGTACTCTAATGTTTAGTAATCCAACTAAGATAGTAATTTTCCTAATGTAATGTCCTATCCACTAAAAATTTTTCTAGTATGAAATTTTTCTTACTTTAAAATTCGATATTTATATGAAAGAAAGATTGAATTAAGGAATATTACATTCAATATTTTTATTAATAGATTAAATTTTCCTTCTGTAAATATTCTCTAAAAATTTTTCTAATATGTTACACTTTCTTATTTTAAAATTCAATATTTATATGAAAGAAAGATTGAATTAAAGAATATATTTTACCAATGGAAGAGATTAAAATTTTCCTAATGTACTCCAATGTTTAGTAACCCAGCTAAGATAGTAATTTTTCTAATGTAACTATCCTCTAAAAATTTTTCTAGTATGCTACGCTTTTCTTATTTTAAAATTCAATATTTATATGAAAGAAAGATTGAATTAAAGAATATATTCAATACTTTTACCAATGGAAGAGATTAAAATTTTCCTAATGTACTGGGTTTAGTAACCCAGCTAAAATAGTAATTTTCTTAATGTAACTATCCCCTAAAAATTTTTCTAATATGCTATACTTTTCTTATTTTAAAATTCGATATTTATATGAAAGAAAGATTGAATTAAGGAATATTACATTCAATACTTTTATTAATAGATTAAATTTTCCTTCTGTAACTATTCTCTAAAAATTTTTCTAATATGTTATACTTTCTTACTTTAAAATTCAATATTTATATGAAAAAAAGATTGAATTAAAGAATACATTCAATACTTTTATCAATGAAAGAGATTAAAATTTTCCTAATGTACTCCAATGTTTAGTAACCCAGCTAAGAAATAGTAAGTAATAGTAATTTTTCTAATGTAACTATCCTCTAAAAATTTTTCTAGTATGCTACACTTTTCTTATTTTAAAATTCAATACTTATATGAAAGAAAGATTGAATTAAAGAATATATTCAATACTTTTACCAATGGAAGAGATTAAAATTTTCCTAATGTACTGGGTTTAGTAACCCAGCTAAAATAGTAATTTTCCTAATGTAACTATCCCCTAAAAATTTTTCTAATATGCTCTACTTTTCTTACTTTAAAATTCGATATTTATATGAAAGAAAGATTGAATTAAGGAATATTACATTCAATACTTTTATTAATAGATTAAATTTTCCTTCTGTAACTATTCTCTAAAAATTTTTCTAATATGTTACACTTTCTTACTTTAAAATTCAATATTTATATGAAAAAAAGATTGAATTAAAGAATACATTCAATACTTTTATCAATGAAAGAGATTAAAATTTTCCTAATGTACTCCAATGTTTAGTAACCCAGCTAAGACAGTAATTTTCCTAATGTAACTATCCTCTAAAAATTTTTCTAGTATGCTACACTTTAAAATTCCATATTTATATGAAAGAAAGATTTAATTAAAGGATACTATCAATGGAATAGATTAAAATTTTTCTAATGTTTACTTAATTCAGCTAAGATAATAATTTTCCTAATGTAACTATCTATATACAGAAGAATATACATTTTCATTTCATTTCATTTTTTCCAATGGAATAGATTAAAATTTTTCTAATATTTAGTTAATCCAGCTAAGATAATAATTCTCCTAATGTAACTATCTATATACGGAAGAATATACATTTTCATTTCATTTCATTTTTTCCAAGAGATCCGGTAATTGTACACTGTTCAATTCGCCGGGTACGAAAGGTAATTTAAAGTTTGAAATCCAATTTTTGATGTAGAGGGGATGCAAAGAAGTTCATCTAAAATCGGTAAGAGGAGAATGATGAGGCGGGCGTTCGCCAGCTGTTTCGTTATGAAGACACTTTGGTCGAGGGTTGGCTGCCGATTTGAATCAACGTCCACGGGGATCAAAGTCCGTGGCGCAGGTGGCTCGAAAGACGCTTTGAACAAACCCGCCACCCTGTTATTGGCCCAAGAAACACGGCTGGACTATCGATCGCTGATGTAAGCACACCCTTCCTCGGATCGATCACGGCTAACTATCCTACTTTCTTCTCCCTTCGTTTCGCGTTTTCTTCTTCTTTGCAACCTCCTTTTATAGCGAATTCTTGATATCAATATCCCATTAAATAAACGTTCGATACACAGATAGAATTCATTTATTCCAATTGCGACTCTCCTATTAGTCGATTGAAAAGGATTAAAATTGATGAGGATAATACGAATCTTGGTTCAACTGAGAAAAAATACTTGAAGAATTAAGATTGCTTCGTTCGAAGTGACACTGTTTCTACATAATAATATTATAATTTTTTGATATTAGAATTTATATAAAAAATAATATAAAATAAAATATAAATAAAATATAAATAAAATATATAATAAATATAATAATAAAAAATAAAAATAATAAATATAAATAAAAAAAAAAGATAAATGGAACGTTAGTTCGGAAATTCGATCGATCGTTAAAAGGATAAATTGCCGATAAAATTTTCTCTCACCCCCAATTTTCGAAGCTTTTGCTTGGTCGCGTACCCCGCCAGCAAGTACGATTTCAGATCCTTGAGGGTCGTTTCTTGCCTCTTGTCCAATTTCCTCGCATCGCTCCTACTCGAGTATCGATCGTCGTCCGCTACGATCTCGTCCTCCCCTCGCGATCTCTCCGACTTGGCCGGCTGCGAGCAGAAGAAAAAGAGAATTTACGAAAGAAATCATTTCCTCGAACTGGCATTGTCGAAAATTTCGAATTTTCCTTCGGGATAATTCGAAAAGTTCCTCTCTCGATGTTTTTAATTTCTCGAGAACCCTAGCGGCGAAGTTTAAAAGTTTGTTCGATGACCAAAAGAGAAAACGTCCTCTCGAGAGAGTCGTCGTCGTCGTTTTTGGACAAGCTCGACAAAAGGATCGATTTATTCGAGTATTATCGCGCGAGAGTAAGGAAGAATTTTTATCTCGTTCTTCGAAGCTCTCACCTCGCTCGACTCGACCACGTTCCTCCTTCGAATCGGCTCGAGTTCCTCGTTCAATCGATTCACGCCCTCCTCCGATGGTGGCACACTCTTCGACACCTGGCTCTCGTTCCTGCTCCCTATCAGGATCTCCTTCTGCGTGCTCAGCTCCTTCTTCACGGTGGGCACGCGCTTCGTCTTCGTCCGATTATCCTCGCCGTGGTTCCGGTTCCGCTCCTTCTTGTACTTCACCAGCTCGACCACCTGAGATCAGAGAATTCTTCCGTAAATAATAAATAAATAAAAGGAAGGGAAATTTCTTTCGACAAACTCCTCGACACGGGGGAATTATTAGGAATTAAATGTGGTTGGGGGTGAAAGAGAAACTTTTTTGGGGAAAAGAAGAAAAATTATTATATAAAAAAATTGTATGCATTCTTTTTTCGATTCCATTGTTTTTCGAGATATTTTTGTCAACTTTGGATCGACTTTGTCACGACTTTTTTTTAACTTTTTGGATATATACAAGATTATTATATTTACTTTGGGGTGTAATTGTGATAAAAGTAAAGTGTTTAAAAGTTGGTCGTTCTCGATTACGTTGCTCACGTGTTGAGTAAAAAGTCTTGTGGATATTTGGAAATGAGGAGAATCGTATTTAATGCGAAAAATTTTTATTCGAAAAAATTAACTTAGAAAAAGGGAATTATTTCTTTTCGAGAATTTAGGAAATGCGGTTTTGTGGAAAAACGAGTATCAATGGCACGATGTATAATAATAAAAAAAAAAAGTATACAAAATATCGATATAAATAATTTGTAAAAACTATTAGAAATTTTGTTCGCAATACGTAAGACATAAATAAATGTAAAAAAATAAAATATTCTTCGCAAACTCTGGTAATTCTTTTTTTTCCTTACTCCATTATAACAAGAAAATTTTACTTTTAAGTTATGCAGGACATTCTTACCTCGAGGGTGTTTTACAGAAGCGTGGCACGTAATTAAGACTAAATGAAAAAGAGGATCTGGAGGGCAAACCTGCCCTACTTTCAAAATTCTCGTAACTTAAAAAAAGAAAAAAAAATAAAATAAAATAAAATAAAATAAATAAATTTCGAACGCGATACCGTAAATTTTCGGTTTCACGAAGGTAAAATTGAACGAATTCGTTCTACGTAGAGTAATTAATTTATTCCATGTAACTCTGTTTCGATAGAACAAATTGCTCGTTTGTTCGAGAGGCGGCACATACCCAACCCTACTCAACCCACCTCACCATCGCCCATCCCGTGTCTCTCTTGCTATAATAACTCGTTAACAAAACGAAAGTTTTTGCAAAGGGAAATGAAATTATTTCACAAGAGTGTCTTCATTTCTGGGCCACAGTGTATTAAAATAGGTGAAAGAAAAACGTTATCGATTTTCGTGAATATATCCTCGATATTTCGAGGAACGAGAGCATCCTCGAACGAAGCCATTAACGATCGCGTAATACGATATAATTGATGTAACGAAGATTTATCGATTTATCCAAAATTAAACCGACAACGAAAATAGTTAATCGACCTAACTTTATATTCGATATCCCCAAAGTTGAAAAGTTAATCTCGTATCTGGGACACGTCTCGACGTACGAATTTAACGAGAGACGGGAGAGGAGGAGGGTTGGAGAGTGCGCGATAGAAAAAAAAAGAAATAAGTAACGTTGTTATCTTGGAGAAAGGAATCGCGAAAAGGAGGAGCAGAAACCGAAGACGGATAGTCGACGACTTCCCCCTCTCTTCCAGAATTTAAAATTTCAAATCCTCCTCTTAAGACGTTACAAATCGGTTTCCGATCGCGAAACATCCTCGGACCTTTGTCGATGCAAAGCACTTTCCGATACTCTTCCATCCCCCTCGTACGCGTCCCGATACAAACAGACAAATTCTCTTTCCTCCTCCTTTAATACCCTCTTCTTCCGTTTCCAAACCAAATGCTTTCCCACTCTGCGCTTCCTCCCGATAAATCGAGACGATAAACGATACGATTCTCTCTCGACTCGAATCCCGAGTATGGATTTTTCTGTCCTTTTTTAAAAACTTTCCCTAATTTGAATTCAATTAAAAAAAAAAAAAAAGAGCGAGCGAGCGAGAGCGAGAGAGAGAGAGCGAGAGAGCGAGA